TGATTAATTGAATTCTTATTTGATATCGATTGTTGTTAATAACAGTGATCAACTTGTATTATTGACATTAATCATAGTCATTCTTTATTATTTATTTTAATTTTATTTCCAAAAATAAAGATTATCTTTATCTTTGTTTTATAAAAATAAAGATTTTCTTTATCTTTATTTTATAAGTATAAAGATTTACTTTATCTTTATTTTTAAAGTAAGAATAATCTTTATTCTTTATAAAATAAAGATAAAGATTGTCTTTACTTTATTCTTTATTATAACGAAACATAAAAATATGATAACACCCCTAGTATCGATTATCCATGATGATCACGTCGATTCATCCAAAAAAGCTTTTTATTTATATACCATTATTTAATACGCCTCATTGATCTTTTGGATCCACTAGGCACCGCTTTTTCCCCCTTGATGTAAGCAATAATTATTATATTTCTTTGTTCGAATATCATAAACTCTGCGGCAGCTACCATTTCAGTAGAGAGTCAGCGACGTTTGTGTCGCGTTACCTTGTTACATTCTCTTGCATCAATGCCAACAGGAACTTTTCTTTTCGATTTTGTCAGGCATTACAACGAAATAGAATGATGACAATATACTGCTTTTAAGTCCTACATAAGCTATCAAATTACCCTATAGACATTTGTACAGCTACTTTTTGCACTCGTCTACCAATCAACATACGATTGAAAATCTTGCTTCTTTTTTTTTCAAAAGACGAAGATTCTGTCGGTCAACTACCAATCTTTATTTGATATGAGAAGCGTTCGATGTTGATAAGCTTCGAGTGATATTTTCAGTGGTCGATTATTATTTTGCATAGAATTATAATGTAAAAAAAGCAAGTCACAAACATTTGATAAAGTCCCTAGCAGTTTTGGTATTTGTGTACCCACGCTTGGCTCTATTGTTTCTCATTTATAGATAGAGATACAAAGGGATTTATTCGAATGCTTTGCATGACATTATACTATACATTGAGCCTATTTAATGGGTAACATTAATATTTCTTTGTATAAAGGGTATTGTGTTGGCAATGGTTTTTTCTTTTAATTTTCTTTTTATGTTTCTGATATTAAAAGGAGAACCCTAGTCTAAGCTTTCATCAATCAATATTTTGACTGAATTTCTTTAAAGAGAAACCTGTATTCTTTATTTTCATTTATTTTAAAAAACACAAGAATGATACTTTTACCTAGTTTAGCATTAAAATTGATCACGCCAAAAGTGAAAATAATCTGGCGATGAAAAATAAACACCAATCCTGTTTTTAAATTCTTCTACTTTAATTTTCCATTGTTGTTCCGCTTAATTTAATAAGATTATAGCAAAGAACTCAATATTATATAACAAGTCAGTATTGATTTTTTCTTCATCCCCAGGTTGTTTTCATTACATTAAGTATTTAAAATATATCAAAATGCTGGTTATTTGATTTTTTTGAACACCTTTCTAATATTTTTATGGAAAAAGCGCTTTCGCATGGATTATGCAAAATGATTGGGATTTATTATGAATCATAGCGTATACATTGTCTCCCTTTGCATATTGCCAGAATACTAAGAAGATTAAAATGCGACCACTATTCAACAGACAAACATTCCCTTTCAGATGATCTATTTCAAGTCGAAAATTTTCATTATTGGACTTTTGTGCCATATTTTACAACTTAAATCTAATGGTTTGATAGCGACAAATGTTGGACTTCAAACACAGAAAGGAATAATATACGGACGGCAAACTCAATCTTCGATTGAATATTTAGGGTAAGATGATAAAAAGACAGTATGAAGCAGGGGGACATCTATACTTTAGTCGGGTAATCAAATGTTAATCCAGTGAATTTAGAACCTAATAGAAATCCTGAAATAAATATGCATGTTTTTCACCCTCACTCTCACCCTATAATTCTGAAAAGTAATCAACATCTTTGAATACTTCATCATATAGAATTCAATATGCAAAAGTCAGCAGATGGAAACCTCCAATTGATCTTGCGTCGGATACTTTTCCTAATGGTACATTTAATGCAACTTCATTTGGTCCATGTTGTCCTCAACCAACTGTAAAAATATATATAGACAGACAAGATGAACAATGTTTGTATCTAAATATTTTTACTCCAATCAATGTATCAAATCAATCATTATTACCAGTTCTTGTCTGGATTCATGGTGGTGCTCTCCATACTGGTTGTTCATCACAAGGTATTCCAACTGTATATAATGGAACAAATATTATCGCTAATTCTCTTCAACCGGCTATTATCGTAACAATTAATTATCGACTAAATGTTCTAGCTGATTTTTATTTACCAGCTTTAGTTGAAGAAAATTCACCAGACTGGCCAACAGCTGGTAATTATTATTATCTAGATATGTTATCAGCATTACGCTGGGTAAATAAAAATATTCGCGATTATGGTGGCAATCCAAAAAATGTTTTATTATTTGGAGAAAGTTCTGGAGCTAATGCTGTTGTTGACATTGGTGCATTAAAAGGATCAGCCAATCTTTATCAACATATTATATCGGAATCAGGTGGAGCTGGTCATTATATATATTATTCAAATATAAGTGATGCCCTCCAATTATCAAATAAGATTGTGCAAAAGATGAATTGTACACGTGAAAATAATGCACTAATTCTTGCGTGTTTACGTAATTCTTCAATTGAAGATTTGCATGCGGCCTACGGTCTTCGTCTGGGAAAACCAATTATTGATGGATATTTTTTCCCTTATCATCCTCTTTTAGCAATAAAAAATGGTTTGTACAATCCAAACATTACAATGATTGTAGGGAACAATGAACAAGAACCTTTAACGTGTCTTGAAAATCCAGATATGAATTCAACTGGGGCCATTTCAGTGCTAAGTCAAACAATACCACCACAGTGGTTACCATCGGCCGTCAATAATTATCAGCTAAATAGTTGTTCTTCGAATAGAAATGCTAGGAATCGTTGCTGTGATGTTGTTCGCTTATTAATAATAGATAAATTTTTTGATTGTAATGTTCAACGAATGTACAATAATTTATACATGAAATATCAACAATCGCACAAGCTATATTGGTATCATCTAGATTGTAATCCTGGGATATGTCCTGAAATATCAGTAGAAGAAGGTGCTGGTCAATGTGCTCATGTAGATGAAATTCCATTCGTTTTTGGAACTGTCAGTTCCTATAATTCAATGAATTCTCACAATTGTACATGGGATAGTCAAACACGAAGTTTTTCAAATCAGATCATTTCACATTGGATCAGTATGGCTCGAAATGGAGAACCGTTACAATCATGGCCACAGTATTCTCCAACGGCAAAAAAATATTTTAAAATTACACCCTATCATGACTTTTCACCTGAACCATGGTATCGAGACTGTGCTTTATTTGATCAACTTGAAGATGAACAAATACGTATTATGTTTCCCATAACTAGTAGTGTACTATGTCACAGTATAAGCAATTTTCTCATATTTTCAGTTACTCTATTTTACATGGAAAGGATGATCGTCAATTAAAATAATAAAACATTTTCTCATTTCAATCTTCACCATGTTGTATCAAAGAAATTTGCAAAAATGAATACAGAAGCCTTTTAACTCTGGTTGGTTTGCAAATGAGTTTTCTGAAGATTGGTAAGAATTGATTGCTGGAGAAAATGTAGGTAATTGTCGCATGTACCTGTTAAGTTAAATGAGATTTGATGACTAGGTAAAAAGTCACAATACATTCAATTATGTTTGAAAATGAGGGTACGTGGATGGATGTGGATGAGTGGAACTACCACGAATTGTCCGGTATAATTTTCGATTTTGGTGACGAATCTTATCAGATGTAGGCGATTACTAGCTTCATTGATTAACAATTCTTAGTCTCGAATAAAATTTTCGAGATTTCGAGTGATATCAAAGCATAGTAACGTTTTCTAGCTTTTTTTGGAAAAATTCGAGTAGAAGCCCATATATAAATGAATGCGTAACAATAAATATAAAAGTAAATTTAAAGCATCACACGACTCGTTTCGTCCTTGCTTAGGAGACTTGTTAGGTATGTTCAGAATTTCATAATTACATTCAAGTCTTAAATAATCCAATAAAATTGATGAAGATAAAACCTAAATGTAATTAAATAACAACTTCAAGTATGAGTAACCATTACCGGTTTCACTAATCCCTGACGAGGAACAGATCATCAGATGGTTGAATTTCATCTTATTAAAGACGAAAAGTTGCTCTGAGATTAGCTGAAAGCATTAGTGTTAGGATACTCGAACTAAATCTTCAAGTATCAGCAAGCCACATCGTATGCTCATAATCATATGAAAAATGAAACATCATTTATGATGCCTTTTCTCTCCCTTAGCACATTCAGCTGCAATATTTTGCATATCCTGAAGATATGGAGAAAAATGCAAACCACACTAAAAAAACCAGCTAAAATATTGATCATATAGGTCAATGGCTATAATACATTCAATTTTCAGTTCAGAGTTTGGAAAAAATCTGAGCAGATTACTGCGAAATACGAAAAAAATTACTCGTCTATTTTTTACACACAAACAAAAACAGATATGCACAATGAGAAGAACCGCAATACAGTGTCGAACTAAAACGAGCAAATGGTAAAAAATATATAAATGCAAAAAACTACAAAACATTCAAACTCAGCGATCGATGCTAAACAATTATCGTCAACTCATATAAAATACAACTAAAAATATCTCGAGACAGCTATTAGTTGAATTTTACAGATCCATTATATAACTTCTGTACCGAACATATATAAAATTTGGTATGATATTGATAATCAGAGAGAGAATCGCTTGAATAGTTATAGACCCCAATGAATTGTTAGAGATTCCATGAATTCGTATAGCTCTTCCATACGCTTGAATGACTCTTCGGATCATTCTCATTCCGTTCTGCTGCTGCTCATGTTAATATCCCTCTATCTGTCTGTCTCACACATAAGACTCTAACGGAGGGTGAAGGCAAAGGGAGTTTCATATTCAGCAAAGGAATGTCACCTACGATTGAATATTTGCATTATTGAGGGTGAAGATGTGGATATGTATAGCTACCACGAATTTAACCGGTAAATTTTCGATGTTGCTAGATAAAATCATGTTATCAAGTGGCAGTGGGATATTCGTTTCATGGGTCAACCAATTTCCGAGAATAAATTTCGAGAAAATTTTTCGATCTAAACAGAATATCATCTTGAGGGCGTGGATGTGGGTGAGGGTGCGTTTGATACTATTAGAAATAATTCGAAGCAACTTTACGACCGGTTTCAACCTTGCTCAACGGTCATCATCAGGTAAATTCCGAATTATTTAGACTACATCATTAGCGTTATATATTCTTCTTTAACTCTAGTTGAAATATAATGATCAAGGAATTTGGCAGTTCTTAGGCCAGAAGATTTAATCCGATGAAATCTTATCGGAATCTGGGAAACAGATCGACTACCGCAATTGTACCGTCGGTATCCGTTAGGATCCGAGTATCGGAATTGGAGCAAGTTTGACCTTCCATTCTGACCCATCTTTCATATTGCTTCTTATTAGTTCTTGATGTTTAAAAGAGTATATAAGTTTTTTCCGACGCACCCGTCAATGGATTTGTTGCCCGGAAACAGGTATAAGTAATTTATGCAACCAACACCACCGACCAACTTTGTAAAACCGCATAGAAGTCATCCTGACAACCACCCACGTCTTGGAGAGTTATGCACACAAACATCGACAACCACCTACTGTGTAAGAATTCTAGAAAAATTAAATCGTCAAAAATATCAAAAAATGATCCTTCTCAACACAACCATCCAAAATCCCACTTATGGTCCGCACAAACAGTACAACTTGTCCTGACAAGCACCCACAGAACTCTACAATCTACATTTGGACACGAATAAGTGCTATCTCTAAATAGCTTCTCTCTAGAAACATCTCTTCACATAAAGAAAATCCTTAAAACAATCTAATTCAAAACCACCAAATGTTTTATGTTGTTTTCTTTTTTTACGTGCATTTTTACTTATTTGAAGAATTTTCTTTACATTCAGAGACGTTTCTAGAGAAAAGTTTGTTAACAAAAGTAATTGGAGGATAGCACTTATTCGTGTCAAAATGTAGATTGTAGAGTTCTGTGGGTGTTTGTCAGGACAAGTTGTACTGTTTGTGCGGGCCATAAGTGGGATTTTGGAAGGTTGTGTTGAGAAGGATCATTTTTTGATCTTTGTTGACGATTTAACTTTTCTAGAATTCTTACACAGTAGGTGGTTGTCGATGTTTGTGTGCATAACCCTCCAAGATGTGGGTGGTTGTCAGGATGACTTCTATGAGGTTTTACAAAGTTGGTTGGTTGTGCTGGTTGTATGTGTTAGTAATGCCCTGAAAAAAGTCTCAAAAAGTCTCAATTTGTTTGAAACTGCTCGGATGTTGTGTTGTGTAGTGGAATACGAGAAGCTGTATACCGCCCTGTATGACTGCTATGTGGTCGTGAACGATGGCGTATAGGATCCTGCGCGTTGGCATAGGCGCTGTGTCCAGCTGGAATTACGGTCGTATACGATCGCCGTATTGTGCGGTAAACGGCACGGCAAAATACAGTCGTAAAACGATTCCACGAAATACAATGTTGATACGGCTGTGTACAGCCGGAACTTTTAAGTATACGGTAGAATACGGTGCCGTAAACGGTCATATACAAGGTTCTGATCATCATAATGCTCGTTCTGGGGCACTCAGGAATATCTGCTCTTTCGAATAATATATCACGCACAAAAAAGAGACAAAAAAGTATGCGATCGGATAATTTTGACCATCACTGTACAGATTCAAATTCAAATATCTCAGTCCAGGTGCGCTATAGGCACGTCATATTTTAAATTCTTTAGTTTGGCAATGACACCTTTACTTTGATAATAATAAATCTAATTTTCTTGAGTTACAGTACGCACACCTCCTTTGTTAGATAATTGTATTCTAGTTTTCGCTTAGTTCATTTACGATGAAGACATTGCAAACTTCTTTTGATCCAAACAATACAATAACAATTAAGATTGGAAATATTTTTATGATGGATAATAAAAAGGTGCGACACAACATTCTAACAGACTTATTCAAATTGTCGAGCAAGAAAAACTTGAATTAAATGAAACTATATTGCCTACTTGAGATTTTAATCTATTAGCTACGAGCTCTATTTTCAGTCTTTTTCAAATTGAAATGATCAAAAGAAATAGATTATCATTTGATGTAAAATCATTGAGGTCATTCAACAACACGGTAAGCAAGTCGAACACTCACTTGTTGGCATTCACAAGAAAATTATTCGTAAGAGTAATAAACTTCAACGTAATATGAATCATGCTGATCTGTTGCCTTTATGTTGTTACACAAACAAGAGAGAGAAACGCCATGAAATAGATCATTGAAAATAAAATCTGTACAGATGAATGATGTTTTTCTTCTTTTCTTTTTAGTAAATCATTGCTATAATGTATAAAAAAAAACTATATTCTAGAAAAAAAGCCAGGAAAATTTATATTAATATTTGGTAAAAAACTTTTTACTAATAAATTATGCACTAAAATAGACAACATGGTTTCTGTGTATTATAAGGGATGATCTCTTTTTCATAAACATACTAAGCATGTCTCGATTAGAGGAAATGGTTTGCTAAATTAATGCTATTTTCATTGTTTACTCTAGAAGTATAAGTGGATATCAGTTCAATACAGGTATTATTTCTGATAGTTATGTTTTTACGAAAGCTGTGTGACTATATTGTCGTAACCATTTTAGTTATTCACGAACTTTAATTTTTCTATGCCACGGATTATTTGCCATTGAATGTCCTTCATTTGGGAAAATTAATAATTGCACAGGTACATTGAGGTAACGGAGTGCACGTTCCAGTATATAACCTTGACTGACAGGAACACGTAAATCATCTTGTGCAGTCACAATAAGTGTTGGTGTACGTACTTTGCCAAACTGATAAATCGGTGATTCTTCTATATAGGCATTTGATGAATTCCATGGGGATCCACCCCAAATATAATCGATAAGCGAATTAAGGTCCATGGTACCCCACAAAGATGCTTGTTCAATCGATCCTGCACCTGAGAGAGCAGCATTAAACTGTGTCGTTTGCGTTATCAGCCAATTGGTTAGAAAACCTCCATAGCTATGACCTCCAATGGTGACACGATTCCGACCAACGATACCATCTTCAATTAAACGATTAATACCTGACAGAATATCTCTTCCAGGTCGAGTTAATGGATGATAGCGAATTTCGTCAAGAAACTGATCGCCATATCCTGTTGATCCTCGATAGTTTGGCTCCAGCGCTAACCAACCTTCGGTAGCAGCTAATGGCGCCCATAAACCTCCACCGATGTTGAATTGATTGATACTGGCTGCGTATGGTCCACCATGAATGAGCACAAGGAGGGGCAAGTTTTTGCTTTCAATCTGTCCTGGCGGATAATGTAAAATCCCTTCAATCATACGATCATCTTCATCGCTTGTCCATTGATAAGTTGTTGTTTGAGGAAACTTTCTCTCTGTAAACAATTTGTTTTCATTTGTCATTACTCTTGCAGTTTCAAGTTGATTAACATCATCAACAATATATACTTCTCTCGGTTGGCTATGAGATGAATATGCAAATGCCATCACAGTATTTACATCATTGAGTGATAATGAGATAGATTCATATGTTCCTTGCCATCCACGGTGTAAGACAGTGTATTTATTCGCAGACTGTTGCGTGTATATTTGAACATTGGTTCTCCATTGTCCTAGTATGTAGACTCCACCATCAGGTCTGACACAATATTCTGTAATACTACCCTTGAAGTCTTTTGCAAGGCGCTGTATTTCTCCAGTTGTTAGATCGAGAGCATGTAGTGTCATCTGTGTAATGACACTATTATTATTAGTTGGTCCCAATCCTAATAAGGTAAAAAGGACCTGTTTGCCGTCCATTGATAGCTTTACATTTTCCTCGAATACTTTGTTTGTTGTTAACCTTGATAGCGAAGAAGTGTTTCGAGTGTCAATACAATATATTTCAAAGTCTTCCATTTCTCTGGGCACTCCTTTGATAGACGTGAAGACCAGCTTCTGTTGAGACGATGAAAATAGAAGTTCACTAATTTTAAAAGGAAGGACTTTAACAGCATTCATCTTTGTATTAACTAGTTGGTTTTTAGGGCTGAAAACGATGTGATAAATTGTACTTTCATCGCTTGGTTTCGATTTCCTATATTGAATAACATCTTTCCATTCAAAAACATCGGAATCTTCATAGGCTTTAGAGGAATTTGAGCCACTCGTAGCAAAGTATAAAGAGGAATCATCATCAGCTCATGTTGTTACCAACGGTAATTGTGTTCCAATCGGGATCGGTATCAACTGTTGTGACATTATACAGTAGATGTGAATATGTTGTTTCATCTCAAGCTTCATATTCAATAAATCATTGCTACTTTTACTCTCCTCATTCAATAAGAATGCAATCCGCTTTCCACTTGGCGACCATTTTGGTTTCATTCTCTCAGAAAATTTATCAGTAATCAATGTCTTCTTATATGTTTGTGTTTCATAAAGCCAAAGACTATTGCTATAGGAATTTGAATCCCACAATGGTCGTCGCGCATGAACAATTAGGTATTGTCCATTTGGAGAGAGACTGGTCAATGGATAATGAACGTAATCAAAAAATTCGTCAAAGGTTATGGTACGTTTCGTTGGGATCGATATACAGGAAATGAATGGAAAAAACAGTAGTAACGCTCGTATCATTTTAACTATATTAGTGATCGAGTGTGTCAATAATTATTTTCATTTACTAGATGCGACAGTAATATAATGTTATCAAGTGTTTAGTTTAATCTAAAAATTAATGCACATACAGGTTGTGTCAAACAAAGTTCTTCGTTTTGAACCGCATAGTATAAGTTTTAAAAGACTGACCATTTCTCCAGTGAAACTATGTAAATTGGCAATCTAGAAGAAAGTGTTTCTCGCGCCATTTATATAGAAATCAGTTACGCTAATGATGATATTAATGGAACTTGATCATATTAGTATGTCTCTTTCCTTTTCTAGTACTTCGATTATCAATTGGAAACTGATATACGTATATCAGTTTCCAACTGATGAAGAACATACAGTGAAATGCGGCAATAAGAAACAACTATGTTCCAAAACGAATGACATTGACCACTTAACAAAACAAACCCTTCGTGTTTCATTTACTTACTTAGGGTATACCAAAAGTTCTGATCACAGTTTTTAAAATTTAATAAAGCAATAAATATTGAATATTTTACTAAGGCAATATATAGTATAACGTCTCGTCTTTAATAATATATAGAGCAACNCCAATTATCAAATAAGATTGTGCAAAAGATGAATTGTACACGTGAAAATAATGCACTAATTCTTGCGTGTTTACGTAATTCTTCAATTGAAGATTTGCATGCGGCCTACGGTCTTCGTCTGGGAAAACCAATTATTGATGGATATTTTTTCCCTTATCATCCTCTTTTAGCAATAAAAAATGGTTTGTACAATCCAAACATTACAATGATTATAGGGAACAATGAACAAGAACCTTTAACGTGTCTTGAAAATCCAGATATGAATTCAACTGGGGCCATTTCAGTGCTAAGTCAAACAATACCACCACAGTGGTTACCATCGGCCATCAATAATTATCAGCTAAATAGTTGTTCTTCGAATAGAAATGCTAGGAATCGTTGCTGTGATGTTGTAAGCTTATCAATAATAGATAAATTTTTTGATTGTAATGTTCAACGAATATACAATAATTTATATATGAAATATCAACAATCGCACAAGCTATATTGGTATCATCTAGATTGTAATCCTGGGATATGTCCCGAATTATCAATAGAAGAAGGTGCTGGTGTATGTGCTCATGTAGATGAAATTCCGTTCGTTTTTGGAACTGTCAGTTCCTATAATTCAATGAATTTCCACAACTGTACATGGGATAGTCAAACACGAAGTTTTTCAAATAAAATCATTTCACATTGGATCAGTATGGCTCGAAATGGAGAACCGTTACAATCATGGCCACAGTATTCTCCAACAGCAAAAAAATATTTTCAAATTACACCCTATCATGACTTTTCACCTGAACCATGGTATCGAGACTGTTCTTTATTTGATCAACTTGAAGATGAACAAATACGTATTATGTTTCCCATAACTAAGTAGTAGTGTACTATGTCATAGTATAAGCAATCTTCTCATATTTTCAATTACTCTATTTTACATGGAAAGGATGATCGTCAATTAAAATAATAAAACATTTTTTTCATTTCAACCTTCACTATGTTTTACCAATGAAATGTGCAAAAATGAATAGGGAAGCCATTTAACTCTGGTTGGTTTGTGAATGAGATTTCTAAAGATTGGTAAGAAGCGATTGATGGAGAAAATGTCGGATATGGTTACATGCACCTGTCCTAGTTAAATAAGATTTGACGACTAGATAAAAAGTCACAATAGATTCAATTATGTTTGAAAATGAAATAGAGTAATATTTTCATACGAGAATATTCGTTTAGTTTAGTTGTTTTATTATCGATTTAATTGAAACTTGAAGAATTTTCTCACGATACTAACTATTGAGGGTGTGGGTGTGGGTATGGGTGAGTGGAACTACGACGAATTATCCGGTATAATTTTCGATTTTGCTGACAAATCTTATCAAATGGCAGAGAATTACTAGCTTCATTGATTAACAACTCTTAGTTTCGAATAAAATTTTCGAGATTTCGAGTGAAATCAAAGCATAGCTACATCTTCTACTTTTTTCGAGTACAAGCACCTATATATATAAATGGATGTGTAACAATAAATATAGAATTGAAATTCAAAGCATCACACGACGCGTTTCGTCCTTGCTTAGGGGACTCGTTAGGTGTGTTCAGAATTTCATAATTACATACAAGTCTTAAATTACTCAATAAAATTTAGGAAGATAAGACCTAAATGTAATTAAATAACAACTTCAAATATGAGCAACCATTACCGGTTTCACTACTCTCTAACTAAGAATCGATCATCAGATGGTTGAATTTCATCTTCTTAAAGACGAAAAGCTGCTCTGATATTACTTCAAGGCAGTAGTGTCAGGATACTCGAACAAAATCTTCATGTATCAGCAAGCTACATCGTATGGTCATAATCATATGTAAAATGAAACATAATTTATGATACCTTTTCTCTGCTTTAACACATTCAGCTGCCGTATTTTGAATATCCTAAAGATATGGAGAAAAATGCAAGCCACACTCAAACAACCAGGCTGAAATATTGAACATATACGTCAATGGCTATAATGCATTGAATTTTCAGTTCAGATTTTTGAAAAAAATCTGAGCAGAATACTGCGAAATACGAAAAAAATTAATTCTCTATTTTTTATACACAAACAAAAACAGATACCCACAACAAGAAAACCTCAATACAGTATCGAACTAAAGCAAGCAAACAGCAAAAAATATATAAATACAAAAAAATATTTTAAAACATTCAAACTTAGCGATCGATGCTAAGCAATTAACGACAACTCATATAAAATACAATAAAAAATATCTCGAGACAGCTGTTAGTTGAATTTTACAAATCCATTATATAACTTCTGTACCAAACATATATAAAATTTGACATGATATTGATAATCAGAGAGAGAACTGCTTGAATAGTTGTAGATCCCAATGAATAGTTAGAGATCCCACGACTAATTGTAGACTATCGATGAATATTTAGAGATTCCATGAATTCGTATAGCTCTCCCATACGCTTGAATGGCCCTTCGGGTCATTCTCACTCCGTTCTGCTGCTGCTGCTCATGTTAATATCTCTCTGTCTGTCTCTCTCACACATAAGACTCTAACTGAGGGTGAAGGCGAAGGGAGTTTCATATTCAGAAGAAAAATATCACCTATGATTGAATATTCACATTATTGAGGGTGAGGATATGGATGTGTATAGGTACCACGAATTTCACCGATAAATTCTCGATGTTGCTAGATAAAATCATCTTATCAAGTGATAGTAGGATATTCGTTTCGTAGGTCAACCAATTTTTGAGAATAAATTTCCAGAAAATTTGTCGATCTAAACAGAATATCATCTTGAGGGCATAGGTGTGATACTATTAGAAATAATTCGAAGCAACTTTACGACCGGCTTTGACCTTGCTCAAGGGTCATCATCAGGTAAATTCCGAATTATTTAGACTACAAAATTAGAGTTATATATTCTTCCTTAACTCAAGTTGAAATATGATGATCAAGGAATTTGGCAGTTCTTAGGCCAGGAAATTTTATCCGATAGTAGAATCGACTAGGATCCGACAGGGGTTCGATCGGGTTATACATACATTTTTGTTAATCCGATGAAATCTTATCGAAATCCGAGAAATGAATCGACTATCGCAATTGTACGGTCGGTATCCGATGGGATCCGAGTATCGGAATTTGAGCGGGTCCAACGTCCCGCTCTGACTCATCTTTAATATTGCTTCTTATTAGTTCTTCATGTTTAAGAGAATGTATAAGGTTTTTCCGACACACTCGTCAATGGATTTGTTGCTCGGAAACGGGTATTACTAATTTATGCAACCAGCATAGCCACCCAACTTTTTAAAACCGGATAGAAGCCATCCTTACAACCACCCACTAGTGCCCTGCGGTTCCTATAATAACCCGAGAACCGAACCGGAACCGTTGGTTCCGGTTCCCACAATTGAAAAAAAGCGGTTCCAATTTCGGTTCGCGAAATTTGTTTTAGGAACCGGTATTTTTACATTGATATAGAAAATATTGAGTAACAGATATTTTTTAATTTTGTATTTCTTTTTTGAGATAGTTCATGTTTATTATTTCATAAAAAAGTTTGAGAAAATAAAATGAAAGATGAAAGAATGAGAAAACATACTATTATAAAATATGTTCACATGAAATTGTTAACCTTACAAAATTTTAAAATAAATCTACTTCATCATTTTCTTCTTCGTAGTTATCATCACTAAGGGTTACATTAACTTCATTCATTTTAAATTTCTTTGTTGTTGTAGTAATAGATTGTTCTTGATTTGCATTGAAGATTGTAGGAGACGACTTTTCAACCATCTTTCTTTTCATTTCATTTGTATTAGCTTCAATCGATGTTTTTTTATCAAATGACTTTAGTAAAGTTAAATTTTTCTGTAAAAACAGTAACTTATTTATTTTATCAGCACCGAGACTACTACGTTTATCTGTAACTGTATTTTTGGACGATGAGAAAAGTCTTTCTATACTTGTATTCGATGCTGGTACAGCATAAAAATCTTGAACTACAGAAAATAAGATTGGAAATTTCGATTTTTGTTGTAACCAAAATTGTAAAATATCATCTTGTTCAGTTAATTGGACATCTAATGTCATATATTCTTTTAATTCATCATACGAAGGTGATGTCGATTTCAAGTCAATTTTTGGTATATCAAAACAGGATGAAAGAAGATCTTTTGATGCTGTTGATTTTGAATCAAGTGCATTTGTACAAGCAGACGTTGTCGCAGTTGGTGTAAATGTGTTGGATGGTGCTGTTGGTTGTCTCTTCAACATTTCTTGTTGCACCAACTCGATAGCTTTTTCTTGTAAGTCAAGATTAACATGAAAATTTTTCATAGATGAATGCAAAAAGGTAGTTATATAATGTATATTTTGCAATATCCAAATATCTTGAATACGTTTTGCTAAATACAAAAATAATTTTTTCAAAACTGAACTCTATTCTCGCATAAGCAAGTAAGATTTTTTAAATACTCTTGGATATGTTGCTGAAATATCATAGGTTTTTAGTAAACATCATGAATTTTCTCTTTCCTGTCTGATATTAGAATAATCTTGTATGCTTTTTACCTCCCCTCTTCCCTAAGACATTTTACAGCATAAAACAGAGAAAATGAATGCTGAAATATTAGAAACTATAAGTACATACCAAGAAATATTTTTATTTGTTGTATTCCATCATGATCATCCGGATCAATTTTACAATGATTTAATAAATATTGTCTCAATGCTAATACTTTATAAATTGTTGGTTTTGTATCACAACTAAACTGTTCAATTACTTCTTCGAATGGTTTTAAAAATAAACACACAGATGCAAATAAATCTTTATCAATCAACATATAATCGTTCATATAAGTTCGTTCTAATATACCAGCTAATTCATCAAATACAATTAAAAAAACATTCATAGTGTAAAAAGCACTATTAAATCGACTATCAGAGTATGATTGTAGTTTTCTAGATAATTTGAACTGTTTGTGCGATCGTCGCATGTGAGATACAATTTGTCGAATACTATTGAACATTTGCTGAACAATATCACAATCAACAGGCATCTTGTCTATTACATCAGTAGTAAAACAATGTTGTAGTTGCTTATTTAGATAATGTATGGAACAACCAACTCTTGTACATAAATCTTTGAAGCTAGATTTCATCTTATTTTCATTGTCACAAACTACAAATTTACTATCATCTAATGTCAAATGGTATTCCATTAATTTTGAATCAATGAATTGTCGAATTTGATTTGAAGATTGATTGTCTCGATCATAAGGATAGCAGCCCAATATAAAAACATATAATTGTAAGTCGTCATTCAAATGGAAAAGTCCAATGCCACAAAAACTAACACCTAAAAAGAAAAGGTATTAATATTAATATCAAACTCATTTCTGAGTTTGAAATAAACTCATAACATTTATGCAAATTTCTATCAAAAAGAATATATCTACCATTATGTGGATCGGTCCAAAAGTCAACAACGGTTGTATAAGATTTCATATTTTTGCATATATCAATCAACTGAGCTTTACTACTCTTGTGCAGCTTGTTAACAGTTCGACTTATCTATCAGTAAATAAAAATATATAAGTTAGTTCCAATTAGAAAAAATAAATTTCTGCTACTTTTTTTATTGTTGAATCTTTTACTTACAGTTGTTGGATGCGGAAGTAAATCCAGAATATTAAGATTTTGTCTATTAGATAAAGTTTGTCCAACATCAAGTACAGTTTGTGCAAAATTGATGAATCCATCTCCAGAAATAAGTTCAAATGCACGGTTATCCAAAGAAACTAATTCAACAGCTGCATTTGTAATTTTTTCTTTCATTGTTCGCGGTATGGATGAAGATGTTTTAGGACGAAAATATTGCTTAATGGTCGAATATTCGCTTCGATTATATTTGTTAGACGTTTGGCACGATTTCTGGTGCTTTATCATAGAACTTGTACCGTCCATTGATGTGTGATGTAAGATTTCTTTACATTCGTCGCACGATGCAAAATCTTGTTTTCTGTTAGAGACGTATACGTAGCTAAAGTTTTTCCAAACATGCGATGATGCCGCTTTTGGTTTTACGAATGCTATACTTTTGTCATCAGTTTTGATTAACTGTATAAGCATTTCTTTTGTTATTGAAGAATCACTCATGTTATCACTAGATTTAAGTTTTTCTTAATTAAATAATATGAGTATACAAAAACTATGAAAAATAATTCCTAAAAGTACAATATGTTTGTTCATACGTGCTACATATATAAGTATAAATGAAAGTATTTTGCTTACTTTGTTCGTAATAAGATCACGATTCAATATTTTAAATGGATAAAAGATTTCTTAGCGAGGAAATCATAGAAGAGTGTCAAGTTATATATTATGTGCCGATATTGATAGATCACCTATCATTGACCTCACTTTCACTCGTCTATATCATTGTCTTCATTGTTCTTTTTGTTCATCTTTCTGTCACTGTTTTCTTTACTCATATTTCTCTCATTGTTTCCTTTCTTCTTCTGTTTGTTTTCTCATCCATAGAAGCGTATGTCAAATGTGAAGTAGACACATTCTGGAAAGGTGAAGTAAGGTTAGAAAATCTATAGATGAACAAAAAAAAACAATGAGAGAAACAAAAGAAGTAACGCAAAACATAGGCAGCGACAGATGATATGAATATAAGTAAAAATGACTCTAACATTCCCTACAAAACATCAACAACTTTTTAATGATTCTTTACCTCTCTTTTAAACATAAGCGTTAGAAATGCACAAAATGCATCACTACATAGATCATAATCTGTGTCAACAAATTATATTGTATTTGAATAATTCCTTAGGTGTTATTAAAAAAAATGTTCGGTTCCTACGGTTCCGGTTCCGGTTCCGGTTCCATTCCATTTTTTTCACGGTTCCGGCTCCGGTTCCGGGTAACAAAAATTGAAAAAACCGGTTCCCGGTTCCAATTTTTTTGGAACCGCAGGGCACTAACCCCTGTTATGTGGTCGTGAACGATGGTGTATAGGGCCGTGCACGTTGGCATAGGCGCTGTGTCCAGCTGGAATTATGGTCGTATACGATCGCCGTATTGTGCCGAATACGGCACGGCGAAATACGGTCCCACGATATACGGCGTAGATACGGCCGTAAATTTGAAGTGTACGGTAGTATACCGCAGTTTCTGGTCAGCGTAATGCTCGTTCTGGGGCACTCAAGAATATCTGCTCTTTCGAATAATCTAACACGCACAAAAAGTTGAATTGAAACACCCACAAAAAAGAGACAAAAAAGTTTTCGGTCGGATAATTTTGACCATCACTCTACAGATTCAAATTCGAATATCTCAGTCCAGGTGCGCTATATTCACGTCATATTTTAAATTCTTTAGTTTGGCAATGAGACCTTTACTTTAATAATAATAAATCTAATTTTCTTGAGTTACAGCACACACACCTCTATTGTTAGATAATTATATTCTAGTTTTCGCTTAATTCATTTAAGATGAAGATACGACAAATTTCTTTTGATCCAAACAATAAAATAACAATTAAGATTGGAAATATTTTTATGACGGATGATAAAAAGGTACAACACAGCAATCAAACAGATTTCTTCAAGTTGGTGAGCAAGAAAAAGTTGAAGTAAATGAAATTATATTGCGTACTCGAGATTTTAATCTATTAGCTACGAGTTCTGTTTTTATTCTTTTTCAAATTAAAATGATCAAAAGAAATAGATTATCAATTGATGAAAAATCGTTGAAGTCATTCAACAACACGGTAAGCAAGTCGAACACTCCCTTATTGACATTCACAAAAAAATTATTCATAAGAGTAATACACTTCAACGTAATATGAATCGTGCTGATCCGTTACCTTTATATTGTTACACAAACAAGAAAGAGAAACGCCATGAAATAGATCATTAAAAATGAAATCTGTACAGATGAAAGATGTTGTTATGCTTTTTTTCAGTAAATCATTGCTATAATGTATTTAAAAAAGTATATTCTAGAAAAAAAGCCAGGAAAATTTATGTTAATAAATAGTAAAAAAATTTTGACTAATGAATTATGCACTGAAATAGAATACATAGTTTCTGTGTATTGTCAGGAATGATTTCTTCTTCATAAACATACTAAGCATCTCTCTATTAGACGAAATGATTTGCTAAATTAATGCTATTGGCATTGTTTACTCTAGAAGTAACATGCGGTGCAAAAATCTTTGCACAAATGTTCAGTTGTATTTCGGACGGATAAACACGTGGTGGACTGAACCTTGTGTTATTAACTGATAGCTCATTCTTTCTTCTTACCAACGGTATATAACTAATTCTTACTAGTTCTTCACAACAAAAATGACACGTGACGAAAGAGAAGCACTGTCACAACGTATATGCAACTTCTATTGTGATTCTGCTAATAAATCTGTAAAAACTACAGCAAATTATTTCATAAAACAAGATATTCCACGAAGAACCGTTTATTATATCTTGAACAAATATTTAAAATATGAATTACAAAGATCGGCCGCGAAGTGGTCATCCACTCAAATTATCTGATAAAAAGCTGAAAGATATCGTTAAATCTGTGAACAATCGAACTGGTGTAAGTCAACGTAAAATAGCAAAAGATTCTCATGTAAATCGTTCAACAATTTCACGTAATTTTTGAAGAAGCACATCGATTCATGTCAGAAAACGCTGAATGGCTCCGAAAATGAATAGTGAAGATCACGAAAAACGAGCATAAAGAAAATGGTGGAAAATTCTATCGTAAATTGTTGCGTGGCTAGGATCTGATCTTCGAGGATGAAAAACATTTCAATTTAACTGGAGATAATGTGAATGGCAATCGATTCTTTTATTCTACTGATCCAGCTACAGCACCGACAGATATAAAATTTCGAAAAAAAATTCGAGCCAAAGGTAATGATATGGATGGTCATATCATCGAAGGGTGTTTCTCATGTGTGCGTTCACAAGAGCAAACAAGCTGTTAATCAAGACACATATCTGAATGAATGTATCAACAAGAGATTTCTTTCTTTCATCGAAAAGCATCATCAAAATAGAAATTATCTGTTCTGGCTCAATTTGGCGACTGCTCATTATTCGAAATCTGTACAAGAACGTCTGAACGAGAAAAATGTACCATTTGCCATTCGTAAAGAAGATTCTCCAAATGTACCACAAGCTCGTCCAATCGAAACAATTTGGGCTCTACTCAAACAGAAGGTATACGAGAACAACTGGTAAGCAAAAAACATCGCTGCGTTAGCTCAAAGAATTTTAAAAAATCAAAAGAACTTGATCTAAAAATGTTGCAATGCATGATTTAGGGTGTTAGAAGAAAGCTTCGATCTATGTGGCGAGAAGGACTGTATTCAGTTTTGTGAACAATGTTTTTTGTAGTATTTTCTATGCCCTTTGTGATGAAAAATAAACCAGATTTTTAGTTAATAAAATGATTGAACTATAAAGCTTGACATTTGTGCAAAGACTTTTGCACCGCACGTTATAAGCGGATATCAGTTCAATACAGGTATTATTTCTGATAGTTATGTTTTTACGAAAGCTGTGTGACCATATTGTCGTAACCATTTTAGTTCTTCACGAACTTTAATTTTTCTATGCCACGGATTGTTTCCTATTGAATGTCCTTCATTTGGGAAAATTAATAATTGCACAGGCACATTGAGGTAACGGAGTGCACGTTCCATTATATAACCTTGACTGACAGGAACACGTATATCATCTTCTGCAGTCACGATAAGTGTTGGTGTACGCACTTTGCCAAACTGATAAATTGGTGATTCTTCTATATAGGCATTTGATGAATTCCATGGGGATCCACCCCAAATATACTCGATAAGCAAATTTAAGTCCATGGTACCCCACAAAGATGCTTGCTCAATCGATCCTGCACCTGAAAGAGCAGCATTAAACTGTGTCGTTTGCGTTATCAGCCAATTGGTTAGAAAACCTCCATAGCTATGACCTCCGATGGTGACACGATTCCGATCAACGATACCATCTTCAATTAAACGATTAATGCCTGACAGAATATCTCTTCCAGGTCGAGTTAAAGGATGATAGCGAATTTCGTCAAGAAACTGATCGCCGTATCCTGTTGATCCTCGATAGTTTGGCTCCAGCACTAACCAACCTTCGGTAGCAGCTAATGGTGCCCAAAGACCTCCACCGATGTTGAATTGATTGATACTGGCTCCGTATGGTCCACCATGAATAAGCACAAGGAGGGGCAAGTTTTTGCTTTCATTCTGTCCTAGCGGATAATGTAAAATTCCTTCAATCATACGATCATCTTCATAGCTTGTCCATTGATAAGTTGTTGTTTGAGGGAACTTTCTCTCTGTAAACAATTTGTTTTCATTTGTCATTACTCTTGCAGTTTCAAGTTGATTAACATCATCGACAATATATACTTCTCTCGGTTGGCTATGAGATGAAAATACAAATGCCATCACATTATTCACATCATTGAGTGATGATGAGATAGATTCGTATGTTCCTTGCCATGCGCGGTGTAAGACAGTGTATTTATTCGCAGACTGTTGCGTGTATATTTGAACATTGGTTCTCCATTGTCCTAGTATGTAGACTCCGCCATTAGGTCTGACACAATATTCTGTAATACTACCATTGAAGTCTTTTGCAAGGCGCTGTATTTCTCCAGTTGTTAGATCGAGAGCATGTAGTGTCATCTGTTTAATGACACTATTATTATTAGTTGGTCCCAATCCTAATAAGGTAAAAAGGACACGTTTGCCGTCCATTGATAGCTTTACATTTTCCTCGAATGCTTTGTTTGTTGTTAACCTTGATAGCGAAGAAGTGTTTCGTGTATCAATACAATATATTTCAAAGTCTTCCATTTCTCTGGGCACTCCTTTGATAGACGTGAAAACCAGCTTCTGTTCGGATGATGAAAATAGAAGTTCACTGATTTTAAAAGGAAGTACTTTAACAGCATTTATCTTTGTATTAACTAGTTGGTTTTTAATGTTGAAAACGATGTGGTAAATTGTGCTTCCATCACTTGGTTTCGATTTCCCATATTGAATAACATCTTTCCATTCAAAAACATCGGAATCTTCATACGTTTCAGTGGAATTTGAGCCACTCGTAGCAAAGTACAAAGAGGAATCATCATCAGCCCATGTTGTTACCAACGGTAATTGTGCTCCAATCGGGATCGATATCAACTGTTGTGACATTATACAGTAGATGTGAATATGTTGTTTCATCTCAAGCTTCATATTCAATAAATCATTGCTTCTTTTAGTCTCCTCATTCAGTAAGAATGCAATCCGGTTTCCACTTGGCGACCATTTTGGTTTCATTCTCTCGGAAAATTTATCGGTAATCAATGTTTTCTTATGTGTTTGTGTTTCATAAAGCCAAAGACTATTGTTATAGGAATTTGAATCCCACAATGCTCGTCGCGCATGAACAATTAGGTATTGTCCATTTGGAGAGAGACTGGTGAATGGATAATGAACATAATCAAAAAATTCGTCAAAGGTTATGGTACGTTTCGTTGGGATCGATATACAGGAAATAAATGGAAAAAACAGTAGTAAAGCTCGTATCATTTTAACTATATTAGTGATCGAGTGTGCCAATAATTATTTTCATTTACTAGATGCGACAGTAGTATAGTGTTATCAATTATTTAGTTTAATCTAAAAATTAATGCACATACAAGTTTTGTCAAACAAAGTTCTTCGTTTTGAGCCACATAGCATAAGCTTTAAAAGACTGACCACCTCTCCAGTGAAGCTATCTAAATTGGCAATCTAGAAGAAAGTGTTTCTCGCGCCATTTATATAGAAATCAGTTACGCTAATAATGATACTAATGGAACTTGATCATATCAGTACGTCTCTTTCCTTTTCTAGTACTTCGATTAGCAATTGGAAACTGATAAAGAACATACACTGAAATGCGACAATAAAGAACAACTTTATACTTCGCTAACACGCGTATTGTATTGTCTACATTGGAATGGAAATTTTTTTGCATTTGCTCTAGATGAAAAGTCTCTCGAAGATAGATGGTATTATTATTGGGTGAAATACCTTGCAGCTCTAGCTGACTCCATCGATGGTGAATTACTGTTTGAAAAAACTAGTTTGAACGTATTCAGACAGATTTGGATTGAAAAACAATTTTCTATTAAGTGTCTAAGAACATCAAAAAGCTTTATTCCTCATCATTCAATAATTGAAAAAATTGTTGGTTGGATGGCTTCTATCCTCTATCTCTCTTCTGCTCCTATATATGAGATGGATGAAATTCAACTCCTTGAGAATTTTCCTGAATCCTTTGTTTTTATGTGTTAATGTTTCTTCTCTTGATCTCACTATTTTGTTATTCAACCTTTTGTTATGATTATCTTTTTTTCTTTTTCTTTGTTGCTCTTGCTGTGTTTGTTCTCTTTGATGTTCTTCCTTTGTCAACTCATATGTACTGATAGGATCATAAGATAACAGTCTTTTTAACACAATAAAAAAAATAAAGAACAACTATGTTCGAAAACGAATGACATTGACCAATTAACAAAACAAACTTCTCGTGTTTCATTTACTTACTCATGCCGCGAAAAAAATGATGCACTGATGACTAGCTGAACTATTGCTTTAGAACATGAAGATGAAATCTGATGGTGATTCGATTTTAACGAATAATTCTCTCATGTTTGAATCAACCAAATAAACGCATGCGTCTAAAATATTTTGTAATCCTTTCGTTTATTTGCGATAAGCTCGTCTTCAAGTACACACAACCTTTGGAGCAGATTAGTATATGGCCTATATGCTTTTCGCTGTTTGCTAAATTTTTTTTTTTGGGTGAAACTGAGTACATATTTGTTACATGCTTTTTATGAATAAAGTACGAATGAGAACTATGACTTTTATATTTTGATCACATGAGGAAGATACAAAACAGCATTGATTTAAACATATATATGTATTAATGAAGTAGACTGCAAATGTATACAGGAAAACTTTAACATAAGTAGACACTATTCTATAATAGAAACTTTTATATAGGAGAACTTTTTTGAATTATCTCAACTATCAGTTTTTGCTTAACATGAACCTTTCTAGAGTGGGCACTGTCATATAGTTTGATGATAAATGGTGTTCAAAAAGTCCCAATGCCATATGTAATATAAGATGGATTTTGCTACATTTTTAACAATTATTAATTTTTCAGCGATAAAAATCCACGAAAAGAAAATTAGCAACAATAGTATTATAGTTAATTATTATACTTATAAACATGCTTCAATTATATAGAAAATAGAAAGTGCATATTTTTGTTTGCAAGAAATAGAAAAGTTTTATTTTTAGAAAAGATCTAACTTTCTTAAAGTTGATACTTTGAAAAAGTTTAAAAGATGTTCAATATAAAGAAATTATATGATATTATCTGGTGGTGCTATTTATCAATAAACAATTATCAAATGCACAATAATTTATATAAGAATTAACCATTTACCTCCGAATGTTCACTGGTGTAGACATTTGTGAATCAATTGTAAAACCTTAAGAAAGAATGGAATTCAAAAACTTTATAAAGTATTTCTGTAGAGAACTTCATGAACTATCGATTGGTGAAAAGACTATTTCGTTTCATCATTTCATCTTCAAAATATGAGCTTTACAAAATCGATACTTTTGAAAAAGTAGAATTTTTTAAAATGAAGTGTTTGCTTCCTACTGGCAATAGATATATATTAGGAGCATGTTGTATAATTTATATTGATGAGCATATCTACTTGGAAGCTGACTGTATTTCGAAAGTTTTCTAACAACTTTGGAAGTGAGAGATGGTAGGATCTAAGATGAACCTCAGATTCATCAGTCAAGAGATGGAGAGAAATCACAATCAACATGAAGATATTTTTCGTAAGCATGATTACATAATAAGTTGAGGTAATTTTTAACATGGATCTGACATTTTCAGTTGTTTTTTTTATTACTAATTCAAAAAAACTAGTTATTTTTTTTAAAGACATGCAATAAAAACGTATGTTTAAAAAACAAACAGTTTTCATATACTAAGCCCTTCTATTTTTGCATAACTCAAATAAAGTGGAATCAATTACGCTTTTTTCTACTCAACAATGTCATAAAAGAAGAAAAAAGTTGGATTTTTCAGTTTTTGAAAACTCCTTTACCTCGTATTTATTGGAATAGACAAACTTTCCTCCACAAAGGATCGAACATTCAATCGATCTATCTATGCTATTTGCACATTGAGGGGATCCATGTTGTATTTCTGTCGTTGTTTTATCAACGGTTCTTCTACAAACACTGTCGGAAATAAAAAGGGTTAACTAAAGAAATTGATAGAATTTTATGAAAATTAAATATTGTCGAAAACAAAAAAACATTTTCTATTGTCTTTATTAATATTTTTGTTTTCCAAATGTATTCCATTTTTATCAATAGAAAACTTCAATTATAAATAATTGAATAAATAAACATATGTATATATGACGTACATGTGAAATATCTTGGTACAAAATCTTTGTTCAACTTTAGACGACTAATCAATCACTACAGAGAATTAAAAGTAGTCAGTGAGAATAAAGATTTCGATAATCAACCATTTTGACGATCTCATTATTGGCGATGTCATACTCGACGATACTCATAAATGATATGTTTTTTATAGGAAATCTAATGTTATTATTGCCACTGGTACTTACTATTTGACATGAGGTCTAAATCAAGTTAATAACTAACTTGACTTAGGATAGAAGTCAAGTTGGTGACTAAGTTAACCTAGTGACTGTTAGTCAGCAAGAGTTGGTGGTGTGTGTATGTGTCTGTATATGATATTTGTTTTGAAAGAGTGAACCAAAGAGTGGGGGTGTGAGTGTGGGTGTGACAGGGGTGGGTGTGATTAAGTTGTAATATTGGGTGTAACATAACCATTACGTCCCCTCTAGAACTTAAAGTATAAATGGTATCAAAGAGTTTTATATACCAGATTAATGCTCGTCAAAAACTGGATTTATGAATATAATTAATAGATCTTAGAACAATTATTGAGTATGAGATTACTGAAATGTCTTGAAACACATGCCGAAATGCGCCCGTATTTCCATAATTTTCATTCTTTATGGAGATTACGAATCTGCTATTATTTTTGGTGGAAATATCTACATGAAGAATGAAAATTGTAAAATACAAGCGCATTTCGGAATGTGTTTCTAGACATCTCAGTGATCTCATATTCAATAATTGTTCTAAGATCTATTAATTATACTCATAAATCCAGTTTTTGACGCGCATTAATCTGATAAATAAAACTCTTTGATATCATTTATACTTTAACACATTCAACGCGATTCAGTTTTCTTTGAAAATTCTATCAAAATATTGATTTGTATCACGAATTTGCATATAATAAATGCATCTAATACCCTTTTCATTCTTTTCTACCAACTAGTCGTCGTTCCTTCTTTGTATCACCACATAATGAGTCATGCTTTATCTTTAAAGGAAAAATCCCTTACATCCCTTTTTTATTTCTTTTCATCTTATCTGTAGTATACGTAACATAAGAGAAGGAAATTTCCAGATTTTTCCTCGTTGTTCTGCTCTCTCGATCCTTTTGTTGTACGTATAAAACTATCGAAAATTTTGTAATTATTCACATGTCGTTCGAAGAATCTGAAACAGAAGAAAGTACTAGCTCACTGAGTGACGTGAGCTCTTTGGATGATGATTTCGTTAGGATGGACCTGGAATCAGAAAATTCTGATGAAGAAACTACTGGTCACGAAGTGGATTCGCAAGAATGGGATGAAATACAATCGGAATCTGATGCAGAATTCATGGAAGATTATGGACTCGTTCAAGAGGTAACTTCTGTATCAGGAGATAATACAATTCTTCCCATCGATTGCTATCGCCACTTCATCACGGACGAAATTATTGACCTTATGGTTCGCGAAACTAATCGATATGCAGAGCAATACTTGCAAACGCATGATATTAGCCGACGATCAAAGAGTCGTCAGTGGAAACCAACTAATGATGTAGAGATGCTCAAATTTTTTGGAATCATTATCGAAATGGGATTGGTACAAATGCCTGAATTAGAATACTACTGGAGCAGTAGCCAACTATATGGATCCAAAATCGTTCAAAATCCAATGGCAAGAGATAGGTTTGAATTACTCCTCAAGTTCTGG